TAAATAAATAAATAAATAAATAACCGGACCTTTCCGGAAAATGGGTAATTCTGCATGTAAAGTCTGTATGTTTGAACAGGCCCTTTTTTGAAAATACCGATAAATTCGTTCTGGCATTTTTCCGAAAAGAGAAGTTGTAACATTACCGGTAATTTACTGGAATGCTGCGTTGTATAAACGCAGAAGGAAAATAGCCGAAAAAAGCGCGTTCACGCTTACAGTAGAACAAACTGACAATTCGAGCCATTCAGAACATTCAGACGCATTCACAACCATGCTGTTTATGAAGATAAAAGCCTTTGAATACTTTTCCAGACACATTTAGCTGCTAGATGTTAGTCAGATAATGTTTCTATGTTCTTTCTAAATGCCAGCTGTGTAAATAATTGTTGATAAAATGCTTATGATAAACTGTTTATGATATTATATTGATATTATAACTGTATATGATGTGAAATGACTGTTTATTTACATTCAAGCTCCACTTCAGTTGCTTTACGCCATGCGTGTGCACGTGAAGCAGCCGGTGAGCCCCAGCGCAACACATGTACATCTCGACATGCGAAAGTGTTCCTTCATATGTTTTCAATGAAGTTGTTCACAATACTTATCTGTCCTCTGAGTTTGTGAGGTATTCAAATGTTTACAAATACAAGCACAGCCGTTTAGAGGCCATTTCTGGTTAAATCTGTCAGAATATACCAGTTTTTGGTATTTATGTGTGAATGGTATATTCCGGAAAAATTCCAGAACGTCCTTGCCTGTGTAAAAAGAGCTTTTTTTTATTTACCAGTTAAGTCGTTGTGGTAATTTTTCGGATATTTACTGGTATCACCGTGTAAAAGTCATGGTGTTGTTAGTAATGTTAAATAATAATGTATCTTTTTTTAAAACTATTTAAATAAATAATTTTTTTAACTATTTAAAAAAAAAAAAAAATATATATATATATATATATATATATATATATATATATATATATATATATATATATATATATATATATATATATATATATATATATATATATATATATATATATATATATATATATATATATATATATATATATATATATATATATATATATATATATATATATATATATATATATATATATATATATATATATATATATATATATATATATATATATATATATATATATATATATATATATATATATATATATATATATATATATATATATATATATATATATATATATATATATATATATATATAT